CAGGGAGCTGAGGCTGAGGATACCAAATCTTGTGGCCCAGCCCTTCTCCTCTTCCAGCTCAGTCTCTGGGACCTCTGGAGCAGTTAGTAGGTTCCCTCTTTACTGGAGCCTAACAGGTTCCACTTGGATGTCCTCAAGAGAGGCATTGAGGATGTCCTCAATAGGGGCCAGAGACTGGTGTGAGGTCCGGAAGCCTGGGCTTTCGAGCCAGCAGTATAACCTGACCATTGTCAGAACCCTCACTGTCAAGTTCATCTGTGCCTTTTGGAGTTGACATGAGGATGAAACCAGGTGGAGATGCTGAATTGCATGGAGCAGCCCTGAGGCAGAGTGGTGGTAAACAGGAGTGGTCAGCAGGATTCTAGTGTAGCCTCTCTCTGCACCCTGAGACCTGTTTTACTTGCTTGTCCCTGGCCCCCTCCACCCCTGTGACATGAAGCTAATCTTCTAGCTTACCAATAAGCTAACCTAGTCTGAGAGCAGACACACCTGCCTAGGGGCGTTCAGACGACCCTCCACTGCACCCCCAGCTCATCTTCTTCCTTCCTGTTGGCAGGTCAGCCTGTCCCCAGAAGACCTGCAGGCCCTGGGTAGTGCCATCAGTATGGTGACTCAGCATGGCAGCACCACTCTCACTATCCCCGGTCATGACGATGACCTTGCTACATCGGGCACACATACAGTCACCATGGTCAGCGCCGATGGCACCCAGACGCAGCCAGTATGACCAGGCAGTTTGCTTGGGGTTTCTTGTTCTCTTGTCCTTCCTTTCCATGGGGTAGACATTAAAGTGTAGGCTAAAATGTCAGGCTTTCCTAAGAGGACCAAGGTTTTCCTACAAAAAAAAGGGTCTTCTCCTAGCCCCTCTGGGCCGTCAGCCACTCTGTTGAAAGGCATTTCACTGGGGGTGAAGAGTTTCTCAATCTCAGTCTACCCTTGTTTTGCTACCACAGGCAAGTCACTTCTCATGGACTTCAGTCCATTTTCAAGTGAGGAGATTAAATTATCTCTGGGGCCTTTTACAGCTCTGTACTGAGTGAAAATCTCTGAATTCAGTTGGCTATACGTTAAGGAAAGACACAACCTCACTTAGCCTCTGAGGCCCCAAGCTGCTAAATCTGACCCAAATGGTTTTATCCATTCCCTTCTGGGTTGTTTCGAATCACCTTGCTTGGAGAGATTTTTATTTGGACTGGGGGAGGGAGAGTAATGTAGGTGAGCTGGAAAACCTCATTCGTGTACATTTCAGGTCACAATCATTACCTCTGGGGCTGTGGTGGCCGATGACACGAGCGTAGCATCCGTTCATCACCAGCAGGTGGCGCTGTTGGCCACAGCCAACGGAACACACATCGCTGTACAGGTGGGTACCGCCTGGGCGGAGCCAGGGCCCGGGCCGGGAAAGGAACCAGGAGGGCAGGGAAATTAGATTGAACAGAAGGGCACTTGGCTCAAAAAGAGCTCATTTTGGAGGACAAATCCCTTTCTCCCTAAAGTCACATATCTGTCTCAGGCTCTTTCTTGACTGCAGTAGAGTGGTGAAGCCCCTTCTGGCCTTCAGAATGACTTCAATGGCAGTCTGCCTGGTGGTCTAAGCCCTTCGTCTCTTCATACCTCCATTTCTTCCTCAGGAAAATAAGGAGGCTGAAGTAGTTAATTACTAATGTCTTCTCCAACAGTCATTCCCTTCTGTGAGCAAGCCTGACTCTCGGACCCTGGACCATTCTGTGGCTCCCTGGCCATACCTAGCCTAATTGGACCCTATCAGGGAACTTCCTGTTTATTGGCACCCCACTAAATGCTCAGTAGATGGAGTGGGTTCAAAAAAGCAGGCCACAAGGGCTGGCCGAGTGGCTCAGTTGGTTAAGAGCTCGCTCAAGGGTTTGAGCTCTGAGCAACAGTGGTTTGAGTCCAGCCCGAGCTGAGCTGCCAACAGGTGGCAGGATGGCTCAGCTTAAAAAAAAAAAAAAAAAAAAAGCAGGCCACAGGGGCCAGCCGAGTGGCTCATTTGGTTAAGAGCTCTGAGCAACATGAGGCTCACCGGTTCGATTCCCACATGGGCCAGTGAGCTGCGCCAAGCTGAGCTGCCACTGAGCTGCCAACAGGTAGTGGGATGGCTCAGCTGGTGAGAGCACGTGCTCCAGACAACAAAGTTGTCGGTTCGACTCCCGCATGGGATGGTGGCTACACCCACTGGCAACTAAAATTGAACACAGCACCTTGAGCTGAGCAGCCCTGAGCTGCTGATGGGCAGCCGGGTGGCGACTGGACTTGGAGCCGAGTTAGCTGCGCCCTCCACAACTAAGATTGAAGGACAACAACTTGGCTGTTGCCCTTCCCCAATTCCCCAACACTGTTCCCCTTCCCCAATTCCCCAATAAAATCTTTAAAAAAAGAGAAAAAAATACAGGCCACATACTACTTCCTCTAGAATCTAGAGGGAGTGTCTCATTCTCTCCTTTCTCCACTGCCTTCTCCACAGCTGGAGGAGCAGCAGACCTTAGAGGAAGCCATCAATGTGGCCACCGCTGCCATGCAGTAAGGGGCCGTGACCTTGGAGACCACAGAATCAGAGCTGCTGCTGCGCCGGAGAGGGCCGGGTCCCATTCGCGTTGGAGGGGGTGCCGAGCCACACAGCCATCCTTATCTCCAAGGGCCCAGGCTGTGGCTGACACGGGAAGACGGCCACACAGGTCTCCAGGGCGAGAAGGCAGCAGGAAGACGGCCTAACTGAAGGAAATCAGGGCCCTGCCCAAGCGGAGGGCTGGAAAGCTGGAATCGGGAACGTGTCGTCCTCAGGAGCTAAGGAGGACGAGCTGGAGCACCAGGCTGCACTGAGGCGTCCTCCTCTCAGAATCAGCAGGGCGCCCACTCCCCTCCCTCCTTCCTACCCTCAATCCACTCCCCTTCTCAGGTGGTGATGGGGGCTGCTGTGGGACTGGTCCTCCACCCTGACTGGTCACTGCCCACCAGGGGAGAGAGCTGACCCATCTTCAGCCCAGTAGGGGCAGAGCAGGCCCGGCCCTGCCCCTCCCAGCAATAACCACCTCCCTGAGGGCCAGCCGAGATGTCTGGCCACTTGGCAGCAGGGACTTCCTGCCACCACAGCCAGAATTGCTCAGGGGCCTGTGGCTGGAGGAAGGGTGCCCAGCCCCACCCCCCACCCCCAGCTGCTCCCCAGCCTCTCTGCGGCAGAGAGGCAAGGAGTAGTAGCCTTGTACATACTGGGGATTGAGTTTAATTTTTTTTAATTGCATTTTGATAATTTTTTTCCTGCTCTGGGCAGTGATGGCAAACGGGTGAATGAGTATTTAATAAAAGTTCCAAGTTTCCACCTGGGTCCCTCCCTCCCTTCTTTCTTGGGCCCTGGTGGCAGGGCTGGTCAAATCAGGCTCTTAGCTCTGTATCCCTGGCACATCCTCCACTGAGCCTCAGTGCTAAAGTGGTGGGACTGCCCTACCAGGGGGACACGTGGGAGGAAGCCCAGGTGTAAGATAAGCCCTGAGGAGCTGCTAGTGGCTTTCTACCCACAGCTGTGCAGGATGGCCAAACAGGACCAGTGTGACCACTGTTTCCAGGCTCTGGTTGGATCTCAGGCCTCAGGATGGTTAGGCTGGAGGAACTCTTGTTTTCCACCTTACCTTGTGTTACATAGAGCCTCTTGAGACCCAGCCACTCCCCACATATATACATACTGTACACAGCTACTCCAAGTGGGCAAAGCCCCACGTTGGAGTGGGGCCGAGGTTGCTTTGGCCCAGGTTACTGAGGGTCTCTGATGCCTCCCCTGCTCCTGTCTGAAGTCCTGGCTGTGGTACCCAGCTCTGGGGGGGCCCACGTGTGTGTGGGGGGGGCCATGCTGTGGGATTCCAGAGCCACAGCTGGACACCACTGAAAAGTGTGTGGTGGGACCAGCCCAGCCCCAGAGGACAGGAAGAGATGCAGGGGGAGGGACTTGATGGAAAGAATCTTTGGGTTTGACCCCTCCTACCTGGGAACATTGCAGGAACTGGAGCGGCCTCGTCCTCTCCACAATGGTGGGTGTGCCCAAGCCTCTTGCCACCTGTGAATGGAACCCTCTCCCCCAGCCCAGGCCTCCTCTCCTGGGATGCCGAGCGAGCTGCTGTTTACTGTTGTCACCGGGTCCCTAGAAGCAGAGGGGGTTGAGGCTGGCCCCAGGGAGGGGGTGTCTCAGTCGCCTACCTTCAACACCCATGACCCCTATTCCTGGTGGGGGTGTGCCCCAGCCCTGATGGGGTTGGATCGAAAGCAATGGAAGCACTGATGTGGACGGCCCTGAATCCCAAGCCTGCTGCTGCCTCACCGTGAGGCTCACCCTGCGTGCTTCGGAAACAGTCCCCAGGGCCTCAGATGAGCCTTTAACAGCCAAAGCCCAGAGGATGGGGAGGCAGCCGATCACGTGCCAAGTCCGCCTGACCTGGAGAGGTGCCCTGGCCCAGTTCCTCCTCCAGCTTTGTGATGTTGCCTTTGTTTTCTTCTGCTTGGGAGGAGCCCCACCACCACAATAATGTCAGATGGCACTCAAAGAAATGCTTTGTCCAGTGCCTACTCTGCTCCATATCCATTCTCAGTCCTTCTTACAACTCTGTGAGGTGGGTATTTTTCCTGCTTTACCGATGAGGAAACTGCTCAAGGTTAAATAACTTATCTAAGGCCCCCCATCTAGTAAGTGTGCAATTGAGACAGAACACACACACACACACACACACACACATCTGATTCCAAAGTCAGGATGGGCTGGCTGGCTTTTCCCCCACAGCATGCTGCCTCTGCAGCCCAGGAGGCCAGGCTGAACACAGCTGGGGCTCTAGCTCTCTGGGGCTTGGTCCCCAGCTGCCTTGCTGGGAACGGGGCCCCTGACCACTGCAAGAGCAACAGGGCAGTTTCCGCCAGCACGGGCATCCCTCGCAAGCAGGCAGGTGGAGCTCTTGCTCCGCGCCCCGGCTCCTCTGCGGTCTGTGCAGCCGTTTGGTTTGCATTTCCTGAAACCGGATCTCTGTGTCAGAGCCGCCCCTGGGCCGGGCGAGCGCCTCAGCCATGGCCCTGCGCAAGGAGCTGCTTAAATCCATCTGGTATGCTTTCACCGCGCTGGATGTGGAGAAGAGCGGGAAGGTCTCCAAGTCCCAGCTCAAGGTGAGGGGCACCCGGGGCCCAGGGGAGGCTGGCAGACGCTTGATCAGCCCCTGCCGCCTGGAAGCCAGGCGTGAACACTGCTACTCCTGGGGCACCCAGCCATCCAGAGGCCCAGGCCTGGGGCCGGGGCCGTACTGGGTAGCTGGGGCAACGTGGCCTGGTGGAGGCTGCTGCCCACTGTCCACAAACCAGGGAGGTACATGCAGAGCCATTTCCCAGAGCTCTGCCCCTCAGCTGTCGGGAGGGTGGCGGTGGCATCATGCGGTTCTGAGGGCAAAGGGCCAGGCAACATCCCCGACTCCATGTGATGAGCGCACATCTCCCCAGAGTCAAGCTTGGGCATGCACCCTACTCCTTCCTGCCGCTTTCTCCTGGCTTTGAAGACAGACAGTTACCTGGTACTTGTCAGTCACTTCCTCCCAGAGCTGAGACATGCTTAATGAGCCTCTCCCAGTCCAAACCAGGCTGGCTTGGTCACCCTTGGCAGAATAGCTCCTCTGAACCCTGCCTGCCAGGTGGGACAGAGCTGGGAAAGGGCCAGAACTAAAGACCCCATTATACTGCTGCCAGTCTTCCCCTTAGGTTGGAGAATTGTTACCTTAGGCCTTGAGACCTCAGGTAGGGAGGGGGGGAATCTGAGCCCAGGAAGAGCCCCATCAGTGATTGCCCTCAAGTTCATTCCTTGGCCCTAGACAATTCCTGGCAGGCCATAAAGTTTCTTTCCTTCCTTTCTCCGGTCCTGGATTAGTGCTGCCTTCTCCACCCTGGTTAGTGGGGAAGAATCCAGGCCTTTGGACCAGGGAACACTGGGAGACAGGAGCAGGGTAGGCCTGGGATCTGTGGAACCTGCCTTAGGGGCTCATTAATTCACTCCCCAAGTATTTATTGAGCACCAGCTATGCACCTGGCATGAGGCTAAGGCCCTACATCCCTGGTATCTCCCCTGTGCATCCCCAAAGGAGGGGTGCAGTCTCAAGAAAACCTCCATTTTTAATGACTAAGGTAGGAGATGCCTAGAAACCTAAGAGTCTTGAATGGAACAGGATAGGTGTTATCTCCACCCCCACTCAAACCCCATACTTTGCTGAAGTTGGACACAATGAAATTGGATGTCCCAAACTGGTCATATCCCATAATCAATCTTAGCCAGACTTGTGAACTATCATTCTTGACTTCCCCAGGAAGGATCTTTTGATCATCTGGGAGAATGTCCCACCAGGCAGGTTCTTCCTTATATTCTACTTAAATCCTTTTACTGCAGATCATGTCATCTGGTGGGGTCTTCCGTACAGACAGAAGAAAAGCAGGTCATCCAAAATCCATCCCTGCAGAAACTCCATGCCCTACATCCACCTCCCACTCTGCCCCTTTACCATCTTGCAGCAACAATCCCACCTCCATAGTTTGTCTCCAAGGTACTGTTTTCTATCTCTTCACTACCTGTGGCTCCTGTGACCTCGCCAGGCTCTGTATGCCCTTCACATATGGAGAACACAGCCTCAGGTGGCTCCCTTTTTCCTGGTGCCATCAGCCAGTAAGGCTCCCTCGCCTGAGCCTCTGACTGGGCTGATGCCTGCTCCCCACCTCCACAGGTTGAGTATTTGAAGGGAAGGTTCCGTGGGGTGCTTGCATACTTGAACTGTTTGCTGTCTGTACCACATCACAGCTCAAATTGAGCCCACTGCCAGCAGCATCTTTGGTCACAGAGGGGATCAGTGGTAGATTTCTCCCTCCGCGTGAGACAGAAAATTGGTTCACTGGCAATCCAGTGAGCCCGATGTGTGGTGGACGGGGCAGAAATGGTAGGACCCATGTCATCGGAGGGAAGTGTAGGGAAGGCAATTCAACCCCAAGCCCATAAGTGGTAGGCACTGGAATGGGAGGAAGTAGTGATAATGTTGGGGGTGGGGATGCCGGAAAGGCAAAGGAGCAATAGAGAAGTGGTCAGAAGGCAGAGGAAGAAACAGATGAAAGAGATATACCAGCAGGGCCCACCGTCTCCCCTGAAAGGTTCTGGGGAGAAGGGAGAAGATGGGGTTAGCCTGTCCTTGGCTGGGACCAGGCAGGAAACCTGCGCCAGCCACAGCAAACTCTGTCTGTGACAGTCACCACTTATTCCGGATGTGTTGGTAGAAGGGCTGCCACTGGCTGTCCTGGGCAGAGCCCTGATGAGGCCAAAGGGAGGAAGAAGAACAGCAAGCCCTCTGAGAAGTGGCCCAGGGAGTCAGGCTTGGCGAAGAGATCAGATGAGTTTTCCTTTCTTTGAATTCTTGTAGAAAGTACAATGGCCTTTGTCCAGTTGGGTTGAGAACACTAAAAATAAACCAGTAGGAATGACACTTCTGCCCAGAATGTATTTAGGTTGAACATAAAAATGTCTTAGGAGTTGAGGACTGAGTTTTTGCAGGGTCTCCAGAATCTCCTTCTCTACAGAACTTCAGGAGTGAGTTGTCCTGACAGAGCTGCAGGAGGGGGAGTTTTGGGAATGTTGGGTTTCCTCGTGGCCACTCGCTCTTCCCAAGGGAAACAGCTTCCCTTTAGGCCTTGTGGGGGGTCAGCTGAGAATTTGGTCTCCTCCCTTCCCTACTGTGAGGCCTGGGGCGAGGGGCTGTGACTGGGGATGTGGGTAAAGCAATGGGTCTCTGGCTGGATGAGGATTTCAGGAGGCAGCAGGCCTACCACTTCCCCCTGACGGACAGGAGCAGGGGAAGGCAGGCAGGGCAAACTGGGACTGTCCCCACTTGGCTCTGTCAGGTCCCCCGGGCTCCCGGGCCTCCAGTGCGCACTCGGCAGTCCAAAGACCCAGGAGGGTCGCTTGCCACTGAGAAGCTCTGATGAGCTTCGGGCTTGGCCTCCTCCAGAGAGGGACAACTCTTGGTGGAGGGGAAGTTAAGAGCAAACTACAGAATCTGCCGGCTGGAGTCACTAGCTTTGTCCTGCCCCCTACCTGCTGCTGGTCTCCAGGCTAGGCTGAGGAGGCGGGGGAGGACGTGCAGAGCACTGGACTCAAAGCCACAGAGGTTTGGGCCTCTACTGCTCCCCAGCTGAGTGACCTTGGCAAGTCACCACCCATCTCTGAACTTCCAGCTTCTCATCTGTAAAGCCTGAGGGTTGAACTGTGGATCACTAAGCTACCCAGCTAACCTAGAAACATAAATGTGAACCAAATACATCAAAGTAGGCGAAGTTGAGCCTTGATCCAGGTGCTCCTTTCCCTTTTCAGAGCCTGTCTTTCCTTTGATGGCCATACCCAACCCCGCCAGCCCCTTCTTGCTCTCAGCAGAGATTCCCACCTTTTAAAATGCACGGTGCCCCTCCCTCACGATAGTAATTAAGCTGTAGTACCTGCTGGTTGAGAAAAACACACTCAGTAACCCTTAAAAGGACCTGTATATTTTCAAAGAATCACTTGGCACCTAGATACACTTAAAGACTACACAGGCCATGTAGTCGAGAGAACAAGGTTGTTCACGGTGCAGTCATTGCGTGGTGCCTTCATGGATTCTCAACTGCCTGTATCTGCATCTACTCCTCAGGGCTAACCACGACAGAATGGTGGGCATCGCCCCAGTCCCTATCCTTCCCTGCGCTTGAGCTTTTAGCGAAATCCAGACCCCCAGAGGAGAACCACTTTCCCACGTGCCTCCAGAGGAAACAGTGAATAAATGAAGCCTCTTAAAGGTCAAAGGCTGCCAGCCCAGAGGTCAGGGGCTCCCTAGGTGGGTGGGGAGCCTGTGGGAGTTCTCTAAACGGGAGGGCCAATGGCAGCTTGTGAACACTAGACACCTGGACCCCACCCCTGGAAACTCTGAGTCAGTAGATCTAGGCGGGCCCCCACGTATTTCGGTTTCACTAGCTCCCCAGGTGGCTGATGCTCAGCCAGGGCCTACGTCAAGAGCAGGGGTAGAGTCCTGGTGTGGCGAGACCTTCCTCTCTGAGCCTTGGTTTCTTCAACTGTAGAAGGAGGATAATGAGAGTCCTTGCCTCTGGGGCTGAGGACTAATTAAAATCAGCAGGTGAGCGCCTACGCACTGGCCTCCACCTCTACCATTTCCTTTCCAGGGGGACCCTCCTCTGGCCACACCCACTCCCCACCCCGGTCCCCACCCAAACCCAAGCACCGGAAGCCTGGCAGTCTGAGGGCTGCTAAGCTTTCTGGGGAGAAGCCCTGAGCCCTGAGTGTCTAGAGCCTTTAATTCCTCCTTGTCTGACACCTGGGCTCACAGGGGTCGAAGCCTCTGCCCTGGACTCCCCAGGTTACACTGGCAAAGGTACAGGTGAGGAAGGTAGGTCTTAGAGGACAGTATAGGCGAATGAACCCAGGAGAGAAAGAGCTCAAACAACTGTGTGTGCTGTGTGGCAGGCTCTACCCCAGGGTGGGAGAGTGTCTGTACATCGTTTCGTTGAACCCCCTTTTTCAGAAATATGAAAACAGGCCCTGTGAGGTTAATTTGCTCAGAGAGATTCAATCCATGTCTGTCTGACTTTTGTATTTCTCCTACTTCTTTCCATGAAGCATTTAAGTTCATTCAACAGCTTTATTAAGTTTCTCTTATATGCCAGGCCCAGAGATACAGCAGTGAATAAAAGAGACAAAAATCCTCACTCCTGTGGGGCTAACATTGCAGTCAGAGAACACAAATGATAAATGAAATAAGTAAAAATATATCATGTGATGGAAGGAGGAAAACAGAGCAGAAGTGGGAGTTAGAGAGGATGGGGTTATAGATTTACACAAGGTGATCAGGGAAGCCCTCCCTGAAAAGGACCTCTAAGTAAAGACTGGAAGGAGGAGAGAGTGTGAGCCATGACCTGGGAGAAGGATGTTTCGGGCTGAAGGAATAGCAAGTGCAAATGCCCTGAGGCAAGAGGTGCCTGGCCTGTCTGAAGGGATGTCAAGGGAGCCAGAGTGGCTGAGAAAAGTGAGGGAGAGGGATGAGGTCAGAGACCGTGTAGCAAGCTAGTCACGTGGGCCTGAGACCTCGGATTTTACTCAGAAC